TGAATGTATTGCCTGCATGTATGTGAGTGCACCTGTGTCGTGCAATGCCCCAGAGGTCAGAAGAGGGCTTAGAATTCCCCTGGAACTGGAGTTAAGGACTGTTCGTAGCTGCCATGTGGGTGCTGGGAATCGAACCCGGGTCTTCTGCAAGAGCAGTCAGTGCTCTTAACCTCTGAGCCATCTCTCCAGCCCATAAAAAGAATTTTTAAATTATCTGTGGTTTATGCTCAGTGTTCAGTACTATGCTATGTATTCAGTGTTACTGTAAAGGTATTCTGTGATTACTCTTGACCTCCGGAAGAGAGCCTCTTGCTTAATTTCAGTATGCCTAATACAGTCCTTGGAGGTTCGGCTGGCAGAGTGCTCAAGGCAGAGGAAAAGCTCCTCCTATTTCTCACAGCCACTTCCATCTCTTAAAAACTCCCATCTCTCAATACACAATCCACAGAAGAAACTATTCTATCAAAAGAACTGTGCTAAAAGGCTAAAACAAAGGTAAGGATGACAGCTGGACTAAGTTTAGAAGGAAACTCTCAGAACTCTGGAGAACAGAACCAGTTTTGGCTCACAACCCTGGGTCTGTTTTACTGAGTAACTTGGCTTGGTTAAATGGATTGCTTTTTAATGTTATGCCAAGACATTGTAAACAAGTTTGAAGTGAGAGTCATAAGACTAAGATGACAAACTTATCTTAAGGGGAAGAAAAGACTAGGATTTGATTAGTGAAGCATTTTATTCAATTAGTGCTGCTTATTAAATTACCTCTGATACAGTGTTTAAAACCAGTTACTTGATCACTATAGGATTCTCTTACCTTTGTCCTAGTTAAGCAGTAATGACTGGTTGATTCCTTCACAGGAGACAATGGCAAAGAAGGTGGCAGTGATTGGAGCAGGGGTCAGTGGCCTGATCTCTCTGAAGTGCTGCCTAGATGAGGGTCTTGAGCCCACCTGCTTTGAAAGGACTGAAGATATTGGAGGGCTGTGGAGGTTCAAAGTAAGTAAGACTCTTTTTGCTTTTGAATAAGTTTCACAAAAATTTAAAAGTGATTCATAGCTACTGATGGACACTATTAAAGATTACTTAAGCAACTTTGATCCAATTTTATTTTCATTTATTTACACAATGATACAGAAACTGAATTCACAAACTAGCATCTCTCCCAGGTCAATAAGATGCCAACCCATGTGGCCAGCTCAAGGATGTAAATATCTTCTCCTTTGTGTCCAACCACTCCCTTGAGCCCATACTTTTGTCGTTCTCTGAGACACAAACTAGAGAATATACTAACAGTATAAACGGTTTATAAAGTAATGAGAATTGTTTTTAAGGCATCATTTGTATTCTAATCACTGACCGAAATGTTTCTGCAGAGAATGGACTCTTAACACTTCTGACTTTATTTTCTCCTGCAAATGACTCATGTTTTTTATGCTGAGCTTTACTTGTTATGTTCTAGTATAACCACTGTGAGACTCTTTGTTTAGTGATTTCTATTATTAAATTCATTCTATTCATCAACCCAATTTTTCATAATGCTAGCTGTCATTCAGAATTTTATTAATATGAGACAAATGCACAGACAACTGCAAATATTTATGGTTTATGAATGGAAATATTTAGACTGCTTCCCCTAACTTTTTGACTAGGTTCTGGTATGACCTCCACCTCTTGCTTTGACATCTTGATCAAGTTATTTTCACCCTTGTGTTTGTTTACTCAGTTACATTAGTGACTATAACAGGGATGTGTAGGTATCACTTAGTGTTGTTTTGAAGATTAAGGTAGATAATTCATGTAAAGAACTTAATATAGTTCTTGACTTGTGTTCAATATGTATTAGTAACTAATAAGATCTAAATATTTTATAGAAAAGGAAGATGGTTAAGTGAGTTACCCATGGTCACAATCAAACCCAGGCCTAACTGACTTCCAAACTGCTAAGCCCCTGCTTAAACTGTGACCTCACTTGCATTCTTGTTCAAAAAGGTTAAAGAAAGTTTGAGTTCAGAACTCAGGACCAGTAACTTCAGCATCATGTAGTAGGAGTATCTAAACAAGATATTAAAGTGTGGGGGAACATTCCAGACAGAAACAAAAAATTTGACTCCACAAACAGCAGGCTCTCATATTTACAGATAATCAAAGGCTCTTCCTGCTGACTGACCAAGCAGGAATGGCAAGGTCATCCATCCGCATATGTTCTTTGCCAATCGAAACTTAATCTCATGCTAGCAGGAATATTTTTAACAGTAGGCTTCTCAAATGTATATAACTGTCGGAAACACCTGGACACAACTTAAAGATAGTGATTACCAAACTGGGAGTAATGGAGTTTGCCCATAATCCCACCACTAGGAAGGATGAAGCAAAGGGACTGGAAGTTCAAGGCCAGCTTGGGCTACATAACAAAAATCTGTCTCAGAAATAATTTTAAGATGCAGCTCAGGGGCTGTGGGGTGCACATTGGTAAAGCCTATGCTTGGCATAATGATCTGTAGCTCCAGTTCCAGGGGATCTGATGCCTTCTTCTGACCTCTGTGAGCACTGCATGACACAGGTGCACTTACACACAAGCAGACACTACACATACATATAAAACTAAAAAAGGAAGGAAGGAAGGAAGGAAGGAAGGAAGGAAGGAAGGAAGGAAGGAAGGAAGGAAGGAAGGAAGGGAATTACCAGACATATAGAATCAAAATCTCTTGAAGATTTTTAATGTCAGTCTCACATGAACCCTATGATACTGAGACAACTTGGCAAACATTGCACAAATGCCAAATGAAAAATTTGTTCATTCAACCATTCAAATACAGAGTTAATGATGGAGACATTGACATTTATATGACATGAGTAGCTTAGTAATAACTGGTCACTGAACTTATTGTAACTTTCTGAAAAAATAATATAATATACAAGTCACTCCTAACAAAATGGCATATTATTTTGTCTACCCTGGGCTCAAATATCCAGATTTTCTTTTGTCCCTATGTTGATTTTTTTAACACAAGAGAAAATGCAAAAATTATAACAAAACTAAATATTTTATTTATTAGTATGTGTGTGCGCGCGTGTCTGTGTGTGTGTGTATGTGTGTGCGTGTGATGTGTGCGGGGGACACGCATGCCACAGCCCACATGTGGAGATCAGAAAACAGCTTTGTCAGTTTTCTCCCACCTTTATGTGGGTCTTCAGGCTTATGACAAGTGCTTTACCCACTGAGCCAACTCGCTGTCCCTGTAACAAATTTAATGTGTAAGATTTAATGTATAAGAGCCAGGAATTCCTTATTTTATTGTCACTAATTTGTTAACAGAAGAGATCAAAGTTACTTTGGATGATCTGCCAACAATACGATTTGATATATTCCTGCAAGGTGTTTCCTGCTCCCAAACATTTCCATGATCCCATCCCAAGGTCTCAAATTTCAGAATTAGTGATACTTTCCTATTTATTAAAAAGTACATTAAAACACAAATTCACTAAGCTTTATTATATAAAATATGTAATTGCATGGCATCTGTAACAAAGGAACATACCAAGTCTCTCTTAAGACTACATTCAATAAAGGTAAATAATGCTCCCCTCAAAAGCCACCTTCATGCAGAGTGAAACATATTATAAGCAAAATTGTACCGGCTTCCACTGGAGCCCAGTGAGGCTTTGGAAAGCAAGAAACTGAACTACCAGGAGGAAGAGGCCCTGGACAGGATGCTGAGGGCCACCCTGCTTGTCCCTGGGAAAACTGTTCTTTGCACCTCTTCAATCCAAAACCACTTCTAAAATAGGTTATTAACTGATTCCCATATTTACACACATTCCTCTGAGATCACTCAACACATCTAGTGCTGATAATTTTAAATACAAAAACAATTTTTTTTAAATCCATGTGCCACGCCTTATTTAGATGGTGCTGAATTCTTCCAGAAAGTTCACTAGCACCCTCTAGTGTCATTTTTTGGAATACAAACGGGGTGGTTAATTGAATATTTTTAGCAGTTCTTTGAGCAGAGAAGCATTTGAAGGGCATCATTTTCCTTCACAATACCTTTAGGAAGTAGATGTTATGATTTTCCTCACTGATGCCTGGATAGGAAACTAAGGTTTGGGGTAAATAATTTGCCCAGGGGAACACATTTGATAGAAAAAGAACAAAAACAAAGGTCTGTGTGATTCCTGAACACACACTTAATCACCTGAAGTACTGAAAGTCAAAAACATGACTTTCCTGTAGCCATTAACTTCTTCTGCTTCTTTATGGCTCCTGACACCCTGTCCTCACAGGGTGAGCACTCATACCCATTGCTTTTCTGACTTGGGGGTTTTATGCAATAGATTCCTTGCTCCCAGATATATAGATAGATACAGATATAGATGATATAAATATAGATGTAGGTATAAATATAGATAGGTCTAGGTCTAGGTCTAGACAGAGAGAGAGAGAGAGAGAGAGAGAGAGATACATGGGTACTTTAATTAAGTTCACACAGTAGTCTGTAGCTATCTTTCTACCTTGGTCTTTCATCTAGAACCAGTCTGAAGCATCACTTTGTCTCTTAAAATGTGACCCTTTTTTATTTCAAATGAATATATTTTTCTAAAAATGTATTTTTCAAGATCAAAGAGGAACTGGACACAGTGTTGGGCAGTGGAGAATGAGTCAGACACAATCACTTCCCACAGCAAATCTGCAATGAGTCTTGCCATTATGATGTGTACTGTACTTTCCCTGGACACCACACCACCACTAAAACAACTCAGTGCTGCATTTGCAGCATTCACGAAATAAAAACTAACATTTATATAGTTATTTGATGTATATTATGTCATTTTATTCCCATAAAACCTACCACGTTATTTATTATTGAGCCAAATTTAACTATAAAGTCAAAGGTAAATGTCCTGCCCTTAGTGACTAATTGGTAGATGATAAGTCTTAGAATCAATGACAATACTGAAAATAAACACCATTCATCTTCTCACCTTGACAAGAATTTGTCATATAATGGCTCATGGTGAGTTTGGTATTAATTAAAACCCTTGGGTCTTTTCCATTTGAGTAACTGATAACCTAAGTCATTCTTTCCCTATCTTTGTATACTGAGTTTTTAATACTATGGAGAAAAATTCATATTTATGAATATTGAACATTATTCAGTTTCTTTGATCCTTAGTCAAGAAAACTGTATTTGGAATTTCCATCATTTGTCATCTTTCCTCTACCTCCTCCCTGCTTTTGATGTACACAAATTAGATCATCCGTACTTGTCTCTAAGTTATTGAGTAGAATATTGATCGTAAGACCAAGCATGATGAGCATGACCTAAACATGTTACTCCATTTGTTCTCTTTATCCCTCACAGCCTTTCCATGTTTTAGTTGACATCTGCTTGTTCACAGCCCATCCTGTTCACTTAGGACCTAACATTTTACGTGTTTTGTCATTTCCTTTCCAGAAAAGACAACTGCTTTCCCCTTGTTTTACTCATAGACGTTGTCGCTGATAAATTTATGACAGCACAATTCAGCATAGCACATTTTTGCACCCTAACAGAGTCAAGTTTGGCATAATATGTACACACCACTCCAGGCAATCAAATACCACAATCCTTAGGTCTTTGGCAACTGTATAATATAAACTTTAATTCTTCATAATATTTTTGAAGAAATAACCTTTGCATGCATGGATTGGGGCAAAGTTTATAGTACAGGATCAGAAGAAAAAATATGTTTTAAGGCCAAGCCTGGTAACATAAACCTGTCATCTCGGCTACTCGGAGATCTGTTGTAAGACAATAAATTCAAGGCCTACCTGGACTACTTAGTGAGGCCCTGTCTCAAAGTTTTTTAAAGGGGCTAGAGGTATAGTTCAGTGGTAGAACACTTGCCTGGATGCATAAGTTCCTGGGTCCAATCCCCAGTTCCTCAAAGAAAAGGAAGAGACATAGTGTTTTTAAACATAAAATAGAACAGTGTTTATACCATACTACCAGAAA